AATATATATTAAATCTTACAAACTAAAAATGTTAGACGATATGAGTTATTATAAGATAATTAATATTATACCGTCCATATATTAACAAATTCACTATTAGTCATGCAACATGTGAATTATGATATTGGTTATTCTACTCGTTTTGTTGGTGTATAAGTTAATAATTGAACATTAATGTTAGAGAGAATTAAATTTAAAGTTTATATTTTAATATTTTATTAGTTTTGTTCAAAGTATATTTTAATGAGATTTGTTGTTTGTTGGAATTATTGTGTTAATTGTCATAAGATAATAGTTTTACATTTGATATGTATATTTTTTTTGTACGAGGGATGTTCATATCAACTAAATATAAAACAAATTTTATATATATAAATGAGTGCAAATTTCGCATCACAAACCAATTTTTGGGATTGAGTTAGGTTTAAAATATACTTCTTAAGGTGGTATAAAAGTTATCTCAAACCTAATCTAGTGATATTTATTATTTTTTAAATTTATTATATCACTTATTATTTCACTATCTATTAATATTTAATTTCATACACAATAAATATATATATATAAGCACATGTTTTAGATATCTTACGTTAACTAAAAAATAAATTTATACTATATTATAGTAAACATAAATTTTATCTTATAAATTTTAATCTTGTAAAATTAAATTAGACTTAAAATTTATTTTTTAATAATTAATATTGAGAAATATTTTGTATAACATGCCACGAATTGGTGAAGCAAATTAAATTTATAAATGTTGAAAAGTTAAGAAAGATTAACAACTTTTCTTGTCGTGGTAACGTGTTAAACAATTTATTTTGGGATAAAAAGGAGAGCATTAAGAGCTACCATCCATCGTTATTGGATTCAGGAAACTCATTAACATGGTTTTGGTTGGCAATGACTAGTGTTGAAGAATGAGTTTGAATGTGTGGATAATAAAAAAAGCTGACATGACATACTAATGGATGTTATAGTTTCCTTTTATAGTTTAAAACCAAATTAAGTGACCTAATTAGCACCACCCAACACAAAACGATGTTGCATGTCCATTGCAATGTCTGTTGTCTTGTCTTCTCCAAGGTAAGGTCAAGATGATGGAATTAATCGTCAAATTGACACGTAGGGTTCTTTATTTTGCATGAACGCACCACAACAAAAACCTTTAGGTCAACACGTGGTGCATTTTCATGCCGCCCTACCAATTATATGTCAACACCACAGTATTGGTTTTTCATAATATTTCTATTCAATTAAACTTTTTTTTCCTCTCATCACTTTCTTTTTCTGCCAACTAACAAGTATTTGGAATATTTTTTTCTTAAAATGGAAAGTGATGTTAAATCGTTTCAAAAAGGAAAAAAAGGAGCGAAAAAAAGTGATTTTTCATGTGATTTAAAAGAAAAATATGCTTTAGGAAATACAGGGTCGATGAAAGAAATAGCTCATCTTTCTTTTACTCTATCAAATCAATTTTATTGGTAAATCTCCTCCTTTTCTAAAAAAAGCCAAAGAAAAGGAATCTCTACCCTCCAGCTCAAATTTAATGAAGTCGTTTTAATTATAATCATTTAATCAGTGTCTCTTAGTTTAGATTATTAAATAACTATGTGCTTTGTAACATTTTAACTGTACATATCAACAATTTACTCTAACATTGCCAAAATCAGAGAAACCAAATGAAAGATTACATGTACAATTTATTCTATTTGATTGAATTGAAATGCTATATTCAACAACGTGAATGCTGATAAAAAAAAATTATTTTATGTACATATATACACTTTATAATGCTTTGTTTGTAAGAGATCAGTGTGATCTCTTACAGGGGCAGTGTCTTGAGATAGAATGATGAATCAACATTTGAAATTGTAACAACGATAGTGCTGTTTTGCTTACTCTGTATCACAGATCGTTCAACGTCTCTTTACCTGTATTTTTCAAATTTATCAGTGTTTTATTTGTAAAAGATACTCTCACACTTAAATTAAATATATTTTTTAATAAGCTATTAATAAATTGAATTATGTGCCTCGAATCATGTCTCTCGACATCAAACTTATATTTATATAATTTATGATAATCAAATTCATTAATTTATCATTATTATCGTCAACGTACTTATTAACCGTCCATTAATAATTATTTATCTCAATTGGCCGTACCCCTCAATTGACCGTTCATCTTACCGTGTACTAACCAGCCCATCGTATAATACAATTTTTATTTGGTGTTGAAATTGGTTGAAGAATAAAACACCGACATCATAAAATTTATAAATTATGAGTTTACCATTATTCAAGTAGAGGTAATTCATGGATGTCCGAAGAGTTTAGCACTGAAACTGATATCTCATTCCCATGGCTACATTATCGATTGGATGTTTCCTTGCAATAGGCTAAATTATTAGAACGAAAACCATAAAAAATTCAAACCCGTAACCATTCCCATTGGACATTTTAAAAGTTAAACATTCTGCTCCTTCCATTTTATTTACGTATAGTAGTTGAATTCTTTTCTTTATTATAGGATAATTAATTTTTATAAAAAATTAAAATAATTCATAATAAAATAATTACATAGTTGAATATTACCAGTCATTAATATTAATTAATGACCAATTTAAATACTAATTCTTTTTATGGCAAAAAAATTAGTGAATAATATTATTTTTTATATTTTAATTCATAAATTAATTATAATTTTTTATTCAAAATAATGACTATTTTAAAGACTAATAAATTTGTATTTATAATTTAGTATATAAATTAGTTATTGTAATCCACTATTTTTTTTTCTAAAATTGGTTATTATTTAAATATTTTTTTATAATAAAATATTTAGTTAATATTTTTTGAAAAATAACGCTATTTAACATTTGGTAAATTATTTTTATAAAATATTAACTATAAATAATTTCAACACTCTATATCAACTATAAAATAATACATATCAATGTTTAGAAGAAAAAAAAATCGAAGTTACATCAACTGAAAAAAATCTCATTACATAGTAAAATTATTTGATAATTATTTTTTTTAAAATTTATTGATAATTAATCTTTGAGTGATGACTTTTTTTAGAGATAGAATCCATCAATAGATGGAAGTTAATTTTTTTGTCAAATTCAATATTTTTTTATAAATTAAGTGGTTTATAAATTAAGTGGAAATAGATAAGACGAAAAAAGAGAATGAGGAGAAAAAAGAATAAAAGTCAAAGACAAAAGGATAATCAAGATATAATGACAGTGTCACAATAGTATTGTAGAAGGTGGAGATAGAGGAGGAGAGAATGAGAAAGAGGAGTAAAAGCAGTAATGATGACGAAGAAGAAAAAAGAAAAGAGAGAAAGGAGTAGGAAGAAGAAGAAAAAAGAAAGAAAGAAAAAGAAGAAAATTAAGAGAAAAATACTCAATAATAATATTTATTGACAAATTTTACTTATGACTAAAATATGTCTATAATTATCCACCAATGATTATTAATGAGTCTTTTCTACCAATAATTATTCATAGATGAATGAATTTGTAATAATTGATAGTTATCAATATATTTTTTTATTTGTTGACAAAATTTTATCAACAAATTCTAGTCACCGTTAATCTATCTTGATAAATTTTCTTGCAATTATCAATTTCTTGCAATGTTAGAAATTGTGAATAAAAAATAATCACGATGAAAATCTTATAAAAAATATAAATTAAAAATATCGAGAAGAAAAGCATCGCATAGATTAAATTATTCCACAGAGTTAGAGATTTTACTTTATTTTATTTAGCAAGACAAGTTGATTAAATGTCAATCACTTTTATTTTTTTTTTAAATTTTGTAAAAGATGTTATAGCTTATAGTGTTTTAACTAAATAATTTGAACTCATTATATTTGTCTATCCACAGCATCACTTTTAAACAGTTTTTTTATTTCTTATAACTGAGTGTAAAATCTTAAAAAACTAAAAATACTTGAAGTAATTATTCATTAAAATAAATAAAAAGAATATTTAAATTTATTTTCTAAGAATAATTTTAAAATAAACACGAATGTAATAGTAACTGAAAATGTAAAAGTTTCTAAAAGAATAATATAAAGACGGATGCAATAGTAACTCAAAATGTAAAAGTTATGTGGAAAGATAAGTGATAACGTATTACAAATGAATGTGTTATCTGTTTCAAAAAACAAAAAAACTTAAGAAATTTAAAATGAACTTGTAGTAAAAGAAGTAAAAATTTAATTTTGAATGGAAGTTTATATTAATTGTTACTACAAAGTTATTTATAAAATAGGATATTAAAACATAAAGTTATTTACTACAAAGTTGAATTAAAGATAATTTGATAGAGTAAAAGGCAGTTAAGAAAAAGTTTGCAGACAGATAGACAGTGGCTCATTTGGAATACCTGACGGTATATGGGAACATGCTCTACAAGTCACTTCAAGAACTACCACTTTATTTAGTAACCTCATCCACTACCAACCCATTTACAATCACCTCACTTTTTTAACTAACACTAACTAACTGTTTAACTTCTTTCATTTTAAAATCTAAGATTTAATACTACAACTTAATTTCATTTCTATATATCATTTCACAATTATATGATGCTATAAAATAAAACATGTTATATTTACATTTAAATTATAATAATGTTTATTGATTTTTAATATTGAATCTTTATAAAAAAAATTAAATAATAAACTGGTAAATATTTTTAAATAGATCCCTTTAGATCGAATTTATAATTATTTTTACTAATTAAATGATCATGTCACTTTATCTAGTACCCCCACTGGGTTCTATTTTTATAATAGAAGTTATTTCTCTCACTGTTACATTAAGCCACTTACTAATAAAAAAAATTAAGAAATAAACGGAAAGATGAGAAAATTAGGAAATAAACATAAAGATGAGTAGGTTCATGTCACCTTTTCCCTTCATTCGTCTCGTAAGTGTGTATGTGGGTGTGGTGCTTATGTATATATATATGAACCCATGAGCTAGCATTTAGATTCCCCCAACTCCATTTTCCTTCTTGGTTCTTTCAGCACTTAACCACTTACACATTCTTCTTCACTTTTCATTTCGAGCATTGCTATCAACCCGTTTTGTTCTAAATCCAACCATGTCTCCCTTCTCACATTCATCTCATCAATCTATCGTTTTCCTACTTATCCATGCTTTCATAGGTACACATGCCATTTCAAATTAAGTAAATGTTTGCGTTAGTTTTCAATATGAAAATTATATGAAGTTTTAATATTAGGTGGAATAATATATTTGATTTTATATGATTTTATTTGGAGAAATGAATTCCCTTAAAACATTGTTTGACAAAGGTTGCTCTGTTTTCGCAACATTTGCGGCATGCAGGGGTGGGAGTTTCGGCGACAACATTTACATTCGTGAACAAGTGCGACCACACAGTGTGGCCGGGGATTCTAGGAAAGCCGGACCTCGGAACATCCGGTTTCGAGCTCAAAAGGGGAAGCACGCGAACCTTCGACGCGCCACCGGGTTGGTCGGGGCGTTTCTGGGGCAGAACCGGTTGCCAGTTCGACGACTCGGGCCACGGAAACTGCGCCACCGGCGACTGCGGCTCTGGCCAGGTACTCTGCAACGGAAACGGCGCCACGCCGCCGGCTACACTCGCCGAGTTCACTCTCGGGTCCGGTTCTCCGGACTACTACGACGTGAGCCTCGTCGACGGTTACAACCTCCCGATGATGGTGGAATCCAGCGGCGGCTCCGGCTCGTGCGCCACCACCGGATGCGGGGCGGACCTAAACCGACGGTGCCCGGCGGAGCTGAGGGTTGAAGGCGGCGACGCGTGCCAGAGCGCGTGTCGCGCGTTCGGGAAACCGGAGTTTTGCTGCAGCGGCGCGTTTAATTCACCGGCGGCGTGCGCGCCTTCGATGTACTCGGAGATTTTTAAGAACGCGTGCCCCAAATCTTATAGCTACGCGTTTGATGATGCTACCAGCACTTTTACTTGCACCGGTGCGGATTACACTGTCACATTTTGTCCCTCTTCTTCTCCAAGGTACTATTCTTCTATTCTGAGAGTGAAAAAAGATATTTGTATAAATTTTCTTCTACATTTTATGATTTTTCTACCTACCCATAATCGAAAATATTAAAAAGATAAAAAATTTAAAGTGGCTTATGAAGATTAGGAAGATTGTGAGAGTATGAAATTTAAAAAATGAAATTTGGGATTTTGCAGTTTGAAGTCTTTGATGGAATCGGGGCCAGGATCATCAGTGGAACAGGCAGCAGTGGCTACTACTTCATGGATAGCCAATTTGGCTACAGGGGATTCCAGCAGAAGCAAACCATTTTCACCTTCCAACTCTGCATTTTTTCTTTCTGTCACTTTCATTCTTTCCTATTTAGTCTCATAGACTCTCTGTGTCCCTTTCAGAATGATATCTTCCTTCTTTAAGGGACACACACGCAAGTAGGATCAACACCATCATCAATACTAATTGCTGTATAAATACATTTTAATAATTTTCTTCCTCTCTTCTTTCACCCTTTGTTTTTTTTTTTTTTTCTGTCATTTTTTTATTTTTTGGTCTGGTTGTTGTTGATTCCAAAATGAAGGTGTGGGGTGAGGGAATGAAAGTGACAGCCCACATGTAAGAAAAGTATTACGTAGGAGTTGAGGCCTGTTATCATTTTTCTTACGGCTCATGGAAATACCTGTTTCATCTCTACTTCCATTTTTAATCACTCTGAAAATAATGCATCGGTTTCCAATGTGAAGATGTAAACTGTGAAAATGATTCCTAATGTGTATTTATTTGGTTAGTCATTAAACATAAATTTCTCTACTGTATATATAATTCTGATAACATGTCAAACAAAGCCTTTAATCACTATGCTAACCTATTGATCCTGTGAAAAGAAACCATGCTAACAATGAAGAGAATTTTTAAAAGAAGGTTGTGGTTAATATGAGCACCGATTCTTATTGTGATGCATGTTAAAGCACTCAATAATTTATGAATATGGAAAATTTGTTTATCAGATTAATCTATTCCTGGGAAAAGGGTTAAAAACGTTGAAGGATATGATAATTAGCCATTATTGTTAGAATAATGTGTTTTCAAATTCTTTTTGTGAAATGTCACACGACCAAGGAAGCCAAAACCTAGATTATTTTCACTTCTTACGTGACCAAAAAAAAACTCAGAAATTGAGGTTCTATTTAATGTAATCTTGAAACAACCATACAAATTACTCATAAATTTAAAATTAATTAATTTTCTTAGAATAGGTGGATTGAGAGAAGGAGTCTTGGTTGTTTCTATTATTATATTATATATTACCCGTTTCATAATAAGTGGAGCTTTATCATGGAAAATCACATTAATTTATGTTTTTAATTTTTTATGAAATGCTTTTTATTTTTAGTTTGTCTTCACAAAGTAATGTATATTTATGTAGAGAAAGAAGAATCTTTAGAAAAATCATTTCATAGTGGGGATCCAATTATCTCCACTTATTTGCAAAACATTAATATCTTAATCTATTATGAGGAATGAGAAACTCTTGTACATATTGAATTTTTTAAGTATGCTAATGAATTTATAAAATACTTAAAAAAACCTTTTAACAGATAAAATAACTATCAATAAAGAAAAATAGAAGAAATAAATTATAAATGTAAAGTGCATATGAATAGCTATATTCACTTATATGATTTTTAAAAAATATTTTTAATTGAGTTTTGATCAAAAATAATTTATTCTTTTGTTTAAAATATTTTTTATTTATTTTTATTTAGTATTTTGTTATTATGGAATAATATGGTTGTGAAATTTGTCTTTTATCTTCTACTCAATGATAAATTTGTTTATTCTCTTCTCAATATGTTCTAATTTAGTTAACTCACTTTTTTCATCGTTAAGATTAAAAATTGATTTAAGAAAATTCTTTTTTCTTTTTTACTAATGATTCAATATTTTTGTTTTTATTTATTTTTGTCACTAAAATTTTTAAAAACTTATATTAAAATTAATGTTATTTCTCTCATTTACTTTTGGAATTGGACGATAAAATATATATTCACCGTCCTTTAAACGATGCTAACGTTAATCTCAATAAAAAAAAAATCAGATTGAGTTTTTAAAAAAATATAAAAACCACGTTATACATGAAAGAATTAAGCTATAAGTGAGATATAAATAAAAAGGTGAGAGTAGTTATTTCTTCATCACAAAATCAAACGATAAAATATTCATTCTAAGATTAAAAAATATTTTAAATACTTAATAGAAACCAATTTTTTTATTAAAAACTTAAATAAAATTACCAATTCTTTAATTATATATCAAGATAAAAAAATAGTTAAAAATATTTTTCATACAGGTAAAGTAATCAAATGATTGATGTCTATGTTTGTTGATTAAATAATGTGGGTATAATTTGTAAATTCTCTATGTTTGTTGATTAAGTCACGTCACATATGTTCTCCTTTAAAGCCTTGAAACTGATTTAAGGCAAATATCATATATACCAATCAAACTTCTTTTTAGGTCAACTACGTCATTAGATTCGACTTTAGATATTATTTTGACCGATGTACATATTATACAAAATTATTCAATTATATAAATTTAAATTATTTTATTATGTTTTAATAATTACAATTAGTATAAAAATATAATTCTTAAATGTAGAAAGCTATTTTCTGTCACTGTAGCAAATCAATCAAAATTATCTAGTTTATTTTGATAAAGTTTTCACCAGATCTAAAGTGAACTAGCACCATGAAAGAGTTAGAAAATTCGGTTGAAGACAATTTTTTCTTACATAAGTTTATTTTGATAAGGAAAATTTAAAATATTATTAAAATATTAATTTTTCTATATATATATATATATATATTAAAAAACAATTTTTTTTAATATTTACTTATTAATGAAACCAGAACGGTAGCAAAATAATTATACTTGAGTTTTTTTTATGTTTTTTCTTATACCATATTTTATCTTTTTTTTATGTTGTTCTTTACGTTATAAAAATATTATGTATTATTGAGGGATATAATTTGTTAGTAATAATAAAATCAGTTGCATTTTCACTGTGTGCGTTGTCTTCAATTCATTTGCCTTCTACTCTTATTTGTTCTTATTTTCTTTCTTTTCTTTCAATTTTTTTTTCGTCCTCCAACTTCTATGATTGTTGTCATGTGTTGTCCCAACAACGGACCTTACCATGACACCACTGTGTCTCTATTATTGTCACCCATTTTAGTTTCTCTTCTTTTTTTTCCTTCTTCGTCTTTGTCTTTCTATTTTTCTTATCTTATTATTTTCACTCATCTTTTCTTAATATATAAAAAATCTCATCAAACTTAATAAAAAATTTATCACTCAATTTAGCAAGAGATTCTACCATATAGATTTATTACTGAAAAAAAGATAACTAGTATAATAATTCATCGATAATTGTAAAAATTCTTGTGATGATATTACGTTATTTTTTTTAACCTTCTTTAAAGTTTATATATTTAAAAAATAGGTTTAATTAGTAGTTTGATCCCTATATTTAAAACATATTTAATTGTTTATCAATATTTTTTTTTACTTAATTGAGTTTTAATTTAATTAAAATTATATAATGGTGACTCATTCGTTAAATTAACATTAGTGTTCGGTTGATAATGTCACGAATCGAGTCAGGTCGAGTACGGATAATTTCTATACGCTACCTGATCTACAAAAAAAAGTTCACTTCTCTGTGTTGTCCCAACATTGTCACCTCACCACCATCACGCCACAATGTCTCTATTATTGCCATCAATTTCAGTTTCTCCTCCTTTTCTTCTTCTCTTTCCTTCTCCTTCTTCTTTTCTTATCTTATTCTTCTCACTCATCTTCTCTTAATTTATAAAAAATCTCGTCAAATTTGATAGAAAATTTATTACTCAATTTACTAACAAATTCTACCAATAGATTTATTATTGAAAAAAAGATTGTTAGTATAAAAATTCATCGGTAATTGTAAAAATTATTGGGTGATATTTGGTTATTTTTTTAACCTTCTTTAAAGTTTATATACTTAAAAAATAGGTTTAATTAGTAGTTCAATCCCTCTATTGAAGACATATTCAATTGTTTTCCAATATTTTTTTTACTTGATTGAGTTTTAATTTTATTTAAAATTGTATAATGCTAACTCATTTGTTAAATTAGCATTAATGTTTGCTTGATAGTGTCATGGGTTGGATCGAGTATGAATAGTGCTTACACGCTACCTGTCCCGCAAAAAATAATTCACTCACGACTCATCTGTTATGTACATGGATACTCATTTAAAAAATATATCCAGGTATTTTAAAACTCGCAGGTATCCACATATACCTACAAATATTTAAAAAATATATTTTATAAATTTTTAAAATAAAATTACAAAATAATATATCAAATATAATACAAATTAAAATTTAATTTTAATTAAATTTAATTTAATAAAAATATATATTAATTTTAATTAAATTTAACTGATAAATTAAATTTTTATTTTCATTCTGTGATTAACGAATACACGTCACACGTGGGTACAGATAGTATAATACATACATCCAATTGATTTATAAGTGGATATTAAAATATTCCTTACTCACTGTCCGTACATAATAAATACTTACAAATATCAAACTATTCGTAATAAATTTTATCCATAGTATCCTTCCTTTTTCTCCCCTACATTACTACTCCATCTCCTTCCTCATCTTTTTCCCATACTACCCCTTCGTCTTCTTCCTTCTCTTTCGCACCACTACAAAATATCCTAACTCCTAGACCATCACGAGAGGGGAATTATGCACCAAGATATAAGGCTTCCAACTTATTAGTAGAAAGAAGAGGGGTGCTGAAAATTCTGAATTTTGGGCTTCCAGCTTCCATTGAATATGGAATACTTCTAACAAATAAAGTCGTAACACTTTGGCATAAAGCTCCATAACTTCTTTTAGGTTCATCCCAATTTAGAATTAGCAATGATCTTTCGAGTGCAGGCTGAAGGAAGGAGATAAAGATGAGTATGAAGAGAAAAAGGAAAGAGACGAAGGATGAAAAACAATAGAAAAAAAGTTAAAAAATATTAAATAATAATAATTCAATATATTAATACATGGTACACAAGATGTCAACTTCAATTTGACGAAATGACCAATATTATAGGATTTAAACAAAATTGAAATCATAAATATTTACAATTCTTTTACGTATTAATGTAAGAAATGCTCAAAGTCATATGAAAAAGTATATGAAGAAATTTAATCTAACTAAAAGCTGATAAAAGTTAATTATACAAGTTGCGTGTTATTGTCGGTTCCTATTCAAGAATAAGTTTATAAAAGCAACTCTATTAGAAACATTCTTAATTATATAATTTAGTGAATAATTAAGGGAAGGGTATTAATTATAAGATTTGATTTATTTTTTTAGTTATATTGTGTCATATTATTTTTAATATTATATCTTTACTTTTCTTCAAATCTAAGGCTATTATAAGACTTCATTAATGATATGATATTTACACTTTAACATAAAAAAAAAGCATTAAAACATATATTATTGTGAAATATTTCTATAAACCAAAAAG